GAGGGGTCACACTGAGTCAGATCCCACTTTACCGCAGTGAGTTCGGTTTTTAGTTTTTTACATATTGTTCCATAGGGTTTTCATTGGCTAATTTTTTTTTTTTTTTTTGGTTTAGCCTCTAGTTAGTGGTTTACCCTCAATTCCCAACCCACCTCTGGTAATCATCAAAGAATATTTCTCTTTTTTTGTGAAAACTTTTACTTGATTTTCACAATAGTATGCTTGTACAATATTTGTCCTATTGTGAGTGATTAATTTCACTCAGCATAATGGCCTCTAAATTCATCCATACTATAAAATAGCAGATTATTTTGCTCTTTTTGTAACTCAGAATTGAGTACCTACAGGATTTACCTTCCTCTGGTATGACCTCATTACTGTAACTAAAGAAAACTTGGATTCCAAACAGGAGCACATCTACAGGAGCAAGGACCAGGACTTCAATATATATTTTGGGGGACACAGTACAACACACAAAACTCCACCCTTGGACCTCCCCAAATTTCCTGTCCTTCACACATGCAAATCATGTGGGAAAACCTGAAAGAGCAAATATCTAACCTGTGTTTTATTTAGTGGTGGGTGAGTACGACTGCCAAAGTGAATGAGAGGTAGGCATTTGTATCAATTGGCTTGTCCTAGAAATTTCCTTATCTGTCCCTCAGGATATTACTATTGTTCTCTCAATTCCTATGCAGTTGCAAATTAAATTCACTGTGCTGCCCTTTTCATTCCTTCAGTACCACAATCATTACTTACTATAATGAAGAAGAAGGAGAAAGGCAAGGAAAATGAAAGTATTTATCCAATGTAGCGTAGTGCCTAAGGCACCTGACTGCTAACCAGAAGTCTGGCGGTTCAAACCCACCAGCCATTCCTTGGAAGGAAGATTGGGCAATCTACTTCTGCAGTGATACTCCCTTGGAAACCCAAGGAGAAGTCTATGAGTCAGATCCGACTCGATGGCAGTGAGTTTTGTTTTTTAGTAAATAGTAAAACTGATATTAACTTTTAATTTTCATAGTGTTTAATCACAATAACCATATATATATATATATATATATATATATATATACTCACTGCTATTGAGTCAAATCCAACTTGTAGTGCCCCCCCCACCTTAGCTTCCGAAGACAGTATCTCTAAGGAAGTAGATTACAGAGTCTTCCTACCGAAGAATTTGAACCACCAGCCTTCTGGTTAGCAGTCAAATGCCTTAGGCTCTATGCCAGGTGAGTATATTTATGTGGATATATTTAACCATATTTTGAGAGGTTAAGGGACTGAGTCATAGAAGTTTAAATAACTTGACCAACTGCGTGCACGTATTGAGGTTGTTGAATTCAAATCAAACTCTATGATGAGTATGTTGTTGTTGTTATGTGCCGTCAAGTCAGACCTGACTCATAGTGACCCCTCCTTGGGTTTCCGAGGCGGTATCACTACGGGAGTAGATTGCCCCATCTCCGTTCCGAGAAGTGGCTGGTGGGTATGAACCGCCAGCCTTCTGGTTAGCAGTCATGTGCCTTAGGCACTACGCTACCAGAGCTCCCATGATAAGTATATGTTTTATGAATTAATAGAACCAGGACAAATCTGATTTAACAACTCCCTACCAATGCTACTAAGTCCCTTCTACTCCTTATAGAAAAACACTGTGTTTTTTCTTCTACTTTGTATTTCAATTGCCTTTCTTTTTCAAAGACCCCTTTTGAAAAAGGGGTTAACCTTTGGGTAAATTTTCTTCTAAACTCTCTTCCAATCTGATCTGAGATTTAGGAAAGCAATAATAAAATCCTTTTAAAAAGGACAGATCTATAAACTGAAGGGACAGGAACAAGGGTGGTGGAGTAGAAGGGAATCACATACTCATGACGTGTCAGGTGAAAAGAACTTATTAAAAACTAACAGCAGTACTCTGCAGGACTTTGGAGAAACTCCTCGTTTTCAGTTTTGTTTTTGTTTAAAGTACATGACCACTAAGGATGACAAAGTGTGTGTTTTCTCAACAAAGCCTGGTACTTTGCTTCACTTTCCTGAATCAAAGTCAGAGAAGCCCAAAGTACTCAGCAGATAAGATGTCACTTTCAGGCCTCTTGAGGAGAGGAGGAAAAAAGAGAAAGGAAAGAAAAGAGGGAGAAAATACAAGAAAAAGAAAAGAAAAAAGATACCAACTTGATTGGCACACAAGAAGTACAAAAAACACTCCATGTCTGTCAGGAATTATACAGGCATCAGATACTCTTAATTTCGTTTGCTCTGCCCCTTGCAGATTTCATTGCCATATAAACTTGTCTTTGACAAGAGTCCAGGATGCCTCAGACCAATACCCTTTCTCAGTGGATTACTCAGGGGCTTCTGATTTACAATAGGGAGAAATAAAGGGTCCAAAGTATTTTTAAAGAGTCTCTCCTCTTTTAATTTCTGGACTACAGGAATTTAAATTCCCAGATTAGTGTTACGGCTGATGTGAGAATTAAGTTTAAGGAAATTTCTTATTTTATTTATTTATTTTTTACTGCCCAATGATGCTGTTCTTTTTTTTTTTTTTTAATTTTGTTGTGATTTGAGTGAAAGTATGCAGAGCAAATTCCTTTCCATACAGCAGTATCTCATGACATTAACTGTAATCTCCCACAGTGCAATAGCTCTCCTCCCACTTCCTCCCTAGAGTTACCTCTTCCCTATGTCCTTCCCTCCCATGCACTCCTGCCCCCCAAGCTGCCTCCCTGTGCATACACAGCCCTTCTATTCTCCCATGATTGGTCTCTCCAAGGAGTGTATCTACCTAATGTAAATGTTCAGCTCATATGCCTCCCTTTTGTTTGGTTGGAAACCACAGGAGTGTGTTCAGTTCCAGACCTAAAGGGCAGCTGGGGGCCATAGTCTCAGGGGTTTCAAGTTAAGTAGTTTTGATACTTTACTTGGAATATGGGGGAATGAGATGTTAGAGAGAGAGAGAGATACTTAAGTGATACTTCCAAAGTACCATAAAAACTTAAAAACAAACCCACTGCCATTGAGTTGATTCTGACTCATAGTGACCCCCATTAGGTTTGCAAGGCTTTAAATCTTTATGAAAGTAAATTGCCTCATCTTGCTCTTAGGGAACAGCTTGTGAGTTTGAACTATTAACCTTCTGGTTAACACCCAAATGTCTTACCCACTACGCTACCAAACCAAACCAAACCCACTGCCATTGAGTTGATTCTGACTCATAGCAACCCCCATTGGGTTTTCCAAGGTGGTAAATCTTTATGGAAGTAGATTGCCCTGTCTTCCTTCTGCAGGCTGGCTCCTGGGTTTGAACCACCAAGCTTCTGGTTAGCAGTCAAATGCCTTAGGCACTATGCCACCAGAGCTCCTTAAATTTGTATCTATGGCCACCCTAATTTTTGTTCATCTTTTCACTGACATCGTCATTAGTCACACATGCAGCCACATAACCCCATAATAAAAAGGAAACATTCTGGTTATCCATCTCCCCACTTACCACATTCATTTCCTCCTAGATCCTTCTGAGAGTTGATTTACCTGAGAAACCAAAAAAAAAAAAAAATTCTTCCTGTCTTTTCACAGCTGAACTCACCTGGATGAAGAACACCAGGGCAGAGGTGGTGGCCTGGGCTCGGACTCCCATTGAGCTGTACTCTTGCTTCCCCAGAATCAGTCAATGAGCATCTCTTGCCTTCTTTCTGTGATCTGTGCCATGTCTTACTTCTTGACCTAGACAACTTAAAGAGAGAATTTTCTAAGCAGTAAATCAGTTTTTCTTTCTCTCTTATTCTCTGGTCTTTCTCTCTACTTTTATCCTGTGGTCTTTTCTCTCTTCTTTTATCCTGGTTTCCTTCTCTATTTCTATTTTTATGGTCTCTACATTTGCTTCCTTTTGTTTTAGTTCCTTCCCTTCTATTATTACTCCTTTCTATAATACATCTTTGACTTTCTCCCACTGCCCTCAAAAGGAAGATAAACAGGAAGGACTCTCTGTTCTCTGAATTAGGTACTTTTCTAGGCACTGGTGAGAAAACTGGCTTTGAGAAAAGTCAAAGGCAGATTGCTGGTGACCAAATATATTCTCTTCTCCATTAGAAAACAAGCAGTATTCTTGGTTCTTCACCACAGCAGTCCAGGGTGACTGTTGAAGATTGAAAGTCACCCTGACAATCTCCATTAACTCTCCCATGTGATTAGCTTCCCCCCTCTTGCTCCTTGAAACTTAGGCCCTCCCATTTGTGTTGTTGATAATCAACTCTTCTGGTTCTGGGTCATTTGTTTCTAACCATTGAGGGAGGTCTTAAAGATTGATAAATGAACTGGAAAGCCAACCCATCTTTATATAAATCAAATTTAAGGGTTAAAGTTTCCAGGTGCTCAATCCACCTCTCTGTGGCGCGTCTTACTGACAATCCATTTAATAATCATCCCTTTCATGTCCTTATAAAATACTTTATATTAAGTAACATATTACTACTTAAGAGTAAATAATTCATACAATATTAATTTGTTCTTATAGATATTTCTTAACAAATACTCAACTCCTTTTCATGTGTGCTTATTTTTCTCCCACATTTTTATTTTTTTGGGTGGCAAAATTTGTTTCTAATAGATTTCCATCAGGACAGACAAGTCAGACAGACATGTTGTTTTGTTTTAAACTAGGTTCCAAGATTTATAGATGTCTCTCTATTTCTTATCTGGTAAATTGACATTGCAATTGAAAAAAAACAAATCTTGCCACACAAGAAAATAAAATCTAAAATGAGAGTAAAAGTAAGCACAGTTGAAAAAGAATAGAATATTTTAAATAAACATATCTGCAGAAGCAAGACTGGGCAGTCTGCTTCCATAAAAATTTACCACCTCGGAAGCCCAAAGGACATCACTATGAGTTGGAATTAACTCGATGGTAGTGGGTTTGGTTTGGTTTTTGGTATAGGAACAAATGAATACTATATGAATGATTTATACTTGTAGTAATTTGTTACTTAATACAAAGTATTTCTTAAGAATATGTAAAGGGTGGTCATAAAATGGATTTCGGTTAGTATGGCACTTCACACAGAGGGTAGACTGAGCTTGTCAAAAATGATAGTTTATAAGGATGTATCTGTCTCACATAGATTAAACAAAACAAGCTTTCAGATGCTCTCTAACTCTGAACATCAAATAACACTGAGAGATTATAGAGGGGAGAATGTTGGGTGGGACCGAGGACATTTTAACAACCCTCACACAGCATGACAATGTGGGATGAGAAGGAGAAAATCATTTTTGTTTCTTAGCTAAGGAAATCAAGAAGTGGGAGGTAAGTGTGATAACAGTGAATCAAAATCTATCAGTTTCGCAACTGAATGGGTGCTTAGAGTCTTTTCTGAAAAAGCAAAGGATAAACATTGTTTTCCAAATTGCAACAGAAAGCTTGACAAGGTTGAAGGCATTTTGTAGGACAAGGAGAGCAGGAATCTAATCTTGGCCCTCTACTAAATTAGTTAATTTCTCCAATCCTTAATTGTCCCTTTCATAAGGTAGGAGTAGAAAGACCTGTTTGACCTGTCCTGGATGTTTTGTTTTGTTTTTCCAAAGAGAAAAAAACAATAAAAAATATGAAGAAAATTTAAATAGAACATTTCTACTCAGAGTGCAATGTACAGGGGAAGCATAATTAGCCTTTCCCTTCTCTTTCTTTTCTCAGAGAGATAGTAGATCACCAGGCCTAATAGGAGCTCTAGTAGCATAGTGCCTAAGCCATTTGATTGCTAACCAGAAGGCTGGCGGTTCAAACCCACCAGCCACTCCTCTGAAGGAAGGTTGGGCAATCTACTTCCGTAGTGATACTGCCTCGGAAACCCAAGGAGGGGTTGTATGAGTCGGATCCGACTCGACAGCACACAACAACAAGAGTTTAAATACCTGTTTTGTCACTGATTAAGGAGCTCTGGTTGCACAGTGCCTAAGACGTTTGACTGCGAACCAGAAGGTTGGTGGTTAAAAGCCACCAGCTGCTCTGTGGAAGGAAAATGGGGCAATCTACTTCTTGAAAGATTTACTGTGTTGGAAACCCAATGAGGGTCACTATGAATTGGAATCAACTCGATGGCAGTGGGTTTTTGAGTTTGTTTCTTATTAGTTGTGTGATCTTGGGCAAGTTATTGCATCACTCCGTTGGCTCAGTTTCATCTCATATAAATGGGGGTGACAATAATAATATTTACCTCAGAGGCTTATGAATATTAAATAAGTTATTATATATGAAATGCACATAATAGTCCTGATTTTTTAAGTGTTAGCTAAGATTATCTTGATTTGCACTGAATTTTACCAATGATTTTCTTTTCCAATATGCAGGATAACTAATACCTTATTCCTCTTCTGTGCATTTTTATATCAAATCCCTCCAGAACATTTTTTATCTTTCTCATTATCCCAGCCCTTGAATATTTCCCCTTGCTAGCTTGGTCATCTCTTCTCCTAACTGTGCCAGTGCTCACCTGTATGAACAGGTTTACCAGTGAACATGGCTTTTTCCCCCCTTGCCCTTCCCTGTGACATGACTACCATCACCTTTTTGCCCTCCAGCTTCCTAACAGGTTTGAACAAAATAGAGTGCTGTTAATGACCTCCTTGTTATTTCTCCTTTTTAGAATTACTATTGGAAATGCAATCTGGGAAAATAAAATTCTTTGCTTTTCTTGAATAGAAATGATTATTCCTTGTGGTAGTCCTGACTCTGAGCTGAATCCTTCTCAAAGTCTCCAAGTAGAGAAATACAAGAGAAGGATGAGGACTCAGATGGGGAAATTGAGGAATGTTTTAATGAATGGACAGATGGTTGAGAAGGGCAGGTAGCTGAGGTGTGTGTGTGTGTGTGTGTGTGTGTGAGATAATCTCATTACAATCCTACGCAATCTGGTTACAATTCCATTAAGCTGTGAATCATTAGCTTACACCCAGGTTGTTAAGGACTTGGAGCGGAACAAATGGAGGGCACATGTATGCAGGTCTTTTCATCCATAGCTTCAGGGAATTGTTATACAACAGGCATGACAAGTGGGACTAAAGAATTGCTCACTTCTGGTTCCTTTGATTACGGTCTTTTTGACCTTGCCTAAGTAAAGTGACCCACCTTGGATTGCCTTTGTCTCTGTGCATCATGAAATAGATGCCAGAAAAATTATTACTCTTAAGGAATTAAGCTCCAGCTACAAAGAGCTGAGTAAGTGGGGTGGGACACATTTATGGTTTCCATAATAGATAATATGACAGAAGAAACTAGAACCATCTTGCAACCACTGGGAGCTCCACTAGAAAATGTCTTTTAAGAGCCAAGAGGGCAGCCCAGGCATTGAATGACAACTGCAGAGGCATTGAAAGTGCAGTGGGAAGATCAGAGTTAAGGAAGTTTTACAATACGAAAGGATTAACTTTATCAGATGTATCCGTCTTATGTGCTCTGTAACAAATTACTAGAAAGGACACAAGTACTCTGTAAAATAACACACATTTACTGTCTCACAATTTCTGTGAATGTTGGCATGCTTAATTGGGACATCTGCATAGGTTCTCACAGGACCGTAATCAAGGTTCTGCTGACCTGCATTCTCATCTGAAAACTTAACTGGGTGAGGATTCATTTCCAAGCTCCTTCAGCTTGTTGGCATAATTCATTCCTTTATGCCTGTAGGATCTATGACAACTTATTTGTTTAAAACCAGCAGAAGAGAAAGAGAGAGACTCTAGCAAGATGTGTACTACATCCTAGTGTAATCACAGAAACGTGATTATATACATTCCATCACCTTTGCCATCTCCCATTGGTTAGAAGCCAAGTCAGGTCTGGCCAACACTCAAGGAAAAGGGATTACTCAAGGGTGCAAACACCGGGAGGTAGGGATTATGGGAGATACCTAAATTCCGTCTGTCAGTTCAACATACCAGAATTATAGGAACCATCTTTATGGAACTTTATAAATAAGAGAGGAACCCATTTGTTTCTGTGAGGTTTGAATAGTTGGTGTTGTTAAGTCCTTGTAGTAGTTGAAGCTGTGTGTCAACTTGGTTGGACCCCAGTTCTGTGTGGTTGTTCCCATGATGGGATCGGATGACTGTGTTCTGCGTGGCCAATCTGTTCTGGGGGAGTTTCCCTAGGGGTGTGGCCTGCTTCCGGGATATCCAGGGATATCCTAGGAAGAGAGACATTTTCTGTGATTGGGATTCTGTTGTGTTGCCTACAACTGTCCATGAGTGAGCAGTCCAGTGTTCAGCCTGGAGATCTTGGATTAGTCATTCTTTGGAGTCAACAGCTGGTGTACTGCCTGCCAGCCTTGAGCTTCTCAGCCCCTGCAGTTGCAGAAGCTAAGAAAAGCCTCCAGCCTGACATTTGCTCCAGGGACTTTGGACTTGCCGGCTTCTATACGTTTGTGAGCCATTTTCCTAAGATAAATTTCTCTCTTTATATATATATATAAACTTTGCTGTTTTTTGTTTCTCTAGAGAACCCAGTCTAACACAGTCCTGTTTAGTCCATTTTCACTCATAGCAACCCTATGCACAACAGAATGAAATACTTCCCAGTCCTGCACCATCATCACAATCACTGCTATGCTTGAGTTCATTGTTGCAGCCACTGTGTCAAGCCAC